ACTGCTTTCCTTAAGTGACCATCAAGAAATTTAGTCAAATAACTGTATAAAGGGGCCCACTGTAAAACTGTGCCTCAGGGGTTATGCAATTTCACAGATTATTTCTACCATGGCCCACAGATTCACATATAAACATTTTTTCAGCTCTACATCAAGAATGGAAACGTGAATGACAAAAAGTTTAACTTGGTCTGAAGTCTTAGTTCTATAAAAGAAATAAATTACTAAAAAAAAAATAACACTTCATTTTTGGTGAATTAGATAATATAGAATCCCCCGGGGTGGGGGTGGGGGGGATTCCATACACACCCATACACATTTGGCCACATTAAAAAGCCAAAACTTGCTGGGCTCGGTGGCTCAGCCTGTAATCCTGCACTTTTGGGAGGCTGAGGTGAGTGGATTGCCTGTGCCCGCGGGTTCGAGACCTGCCTGGGCAGCGAGACCTCATCTCTACAATAAATCAAAAAATCAGCCAGGCGTGGTAGTGCATGCCTGTAATTCCAGCTACTGGGAAGGCTGAGGGGAAAGGATCGCCGAAGCCCAGCAGGTTGAGGCTGCAGTGGCTGGAAGCGGCCACTGCACTCCAGTCTGGGCGACAGAGTGAGACTCCAACTCAAAAAAAAAGCCAAAACTATGTCCTTAAAATAAAGATATTAAAATATTTATTGCTTAAGTTGGGCAAGTCCTGTCTCCATCACCAGTGTAAAAAGAGTTCTATATTTACTTAATAACTTAAATACACATCAAAATTTTCATTCCTGTATCTAAATGTACTTCCTATATAGCAGAAAATATTCAAAGAATATTTCAATAAGCAGCAACTTGTATATTGTTAAATTCCATGAGCTGAAAAAAAAGTCTTACTGATACATGTATATTTTTAAAGTATCTGGTAAGAGAGGAAAGACATGCCTAAAACCTTGATAACAAAACTATCCTATCTTTCTTCTCATAACTTTGGCAACACGAGCCAGAAGAAGAGCCAGCTTTCACACTACAAGTCAATTCTGGAAAGTACCCAAGTTGACTGCAACCTAGGACTAAATGAGAGTAGATTTATTATGTGAGGATGACACTGGCATATTAAAAGCCTAGTGTTTTACCATCAAACTTGAACAACGTATTTTAAGTCCCCACTAGTCGTATTAGAAATGTCTGGAGTTAGCTGGGCTCAATGGCTTAGTCTGTAATCCCGGGCCTTTGGGAGGCTGATGTGAGTGGATTGCCTGAGCCCGTGGGTTCAAGACCCACCTGGGCAGCGAGACCTCATCTCTACAATAAATCAAAAAAAAATCAGCCGGGCGTGGTAGTGCATGCCTATTATTCTGGCTACTTGGAAGACTGAGGCGGAAGGATCGCGGAAGCCCAGCAGGTCAAGGCTGCGGTAGCCGGAAGCGGCCACTGCACTCCAGTCTAGGCGACAGAGTGAGACTCCAACTCAAAAAAAAAAAAAAAAAAGAAATGTCTGGAGCTTTGTCCAAAAAGACATTTACAAATGTCTATTTTTGCCCAGAGATATAAATATAATTTAATCTATGTAACATCAAAGTAGTTTTATAAGTAAATGTTCTGTTCACTAATATGTCTCCAGCACTTAGTTTAAGATACAGGTGTTTAATAAATAATTACTAAATGAAGGTAATATATGATTGAGACATAGCAACTAAAAATTTAAGAACTAGATGAGTATAATTCTGCAAATAGATACTTTGGGGGAAACCTATCATAATTACAATGATTCTGTCCATTGAATAACTGTTTTTGGAACTTCTCTAGAACTATCTCTGGAAAGATGCATATTCTTCCTTATAGAAAAGCCCAGGAACTTCACACATAGAAATAAGAAATTCCCCACTCAACACTAGCAACTCAAAATGGAATGCAGAAGAGTTGAGGCCCACTGTCAGGGTCCTCATGAGGAATGGCTAATTCCAGAGGGTCATGTCCTGAGCAGTACTGTGACCAGAGGAGTTAATCTATGAAAGCCCCTCCTTGAGAAGATCGCCTTGGTAAACACCTGTTTAAAATTCCACAGTTTTGAGAAGGACAAGGATATGAATTTAAAAAAAACCCAAATCACTTTGAAATGTCTGTGATGAGTCATTCACTAAAAAAGGATAATAAATATAAAGGGTAACCTGATATATTAAATGACTACCGACTACATCATGAAAGTCTTATCAGAAGCTTAATGAGCTAATAGCTATATGCTTTCTTTTTACCTTCTCTCTCCAAGAAAAGACTCATAAAACTGGCTAACTTTCTAAGAAGTAATTCAATTTTCACTGAGCTTGACTTGATGAGTTAGATATTTTAAAAGGCAGCATCAGTTTATGAAGCAAGGTGATTCTCCTAGAGCCTACAACTGGATTGATGAGTCACACTAAAGACATACACTTTTGTTTCTTTTCCACACCTGCTTATGTAAGTCTTGAGACAAGAGTGACGTAAAAAGAATTCACTATGACAGCTAATTCTCACATGTTCCACGTTTTAAAAAAATCTATATCACATGTTGCTAATTATCAAAGGTATACAAAGAAAAGGCAAGGGACATTTTATGTTTATGCTTATCAAATTAGTTAGAAAACTGGTATGCTCATAAAATAATGGTATACAGTATAAGCTGGGATAACCCATTATATGGCAATATGAATCATGACTATATTATATTTAAATATTTTGATATATATTATTAATAAGGATTTATCCTAAAGAAGTATTCCAAATAAAGAAAAAAGTCATTTAAGCAGAAAAAGATTCAACATAAATTTTCCAGTAAAAAGATATTGAAAAGTAGTCTAAAATGCCCAATGAGAGGCATGGCTAAATTTGTTTTCAAAATTGTGGTACTGAAAATGAAGTAGTAAATGTTTGACCAAAAAAAAAAAAAAAAAAGATACAAAAACCTATTTTCCTTGTGACTGCAACCATGTAAAAAATACATATGGATATGAAAAGAACAAGAGAATACACAATGATGGTAGCTATTCGCAGTTCCTGACTACTTGCCAAATTTTTGAAATGCTGATTTTGAAGGTGTAATGTGCTTTGATTGCACCTGTGAATAGCCACTGTATAGCCTGGGCAACAAAGCAAGATCTTATCTCTGAAAATAAAAAAAAAATTCCTAGCCGGCTTGGTGGCTCAGCCTGTAATCCCGTGCCTTGGGAGGCTGAGGTGAGTGGATTGCCTGAGCCCGCGGGTTCGAGACCCACTTGGGCAACTTGGTGAGACCTCATCTCTACAATAAATTAAAAAATTAGCCGGGTGTGGTAGCGTGTGCCTATAGTTCCAGCTACTTGGAAGGCTGAGGCGGAAGGATCGCTGGAGCCTAGCAGGTCTAGGCTGCGGTGGCCGGGAGTGGCCACTGCACTCCAGTGTGGGCGACAGAGTGAGACTCCAACTCAAAAAACAAACAAACATACATAAAAAACAAACAAACAAACAAACAAAAATTCCTAAAACTAGCCTGTGTGTCAACTCTCTAAAGTGAAAAGATTTGGAGTCAAAACTTGGTTTTAGAATCCTGCCTGTGTTAAAAAACAAGCAAATACAGTAAGTCTCCTACATACGAACCTCCCAGTTGCAAACTTTCAAAAATGCAAATGTGTTTATATGTCCAATCATGTAAATTAGTTCACATGTCCGGCATACATTGCCACATGTTTGCAAATTATTATACTATAAGATCAAAAATGTTTTCTTTATTTTTGGTATTTGTCTTTTATGTATTATGTATATGAAAAGTATTATAAACCTATTACAGTACAGTACTATATAGCTGATTGTGTTAGTTGGATACCTAGGCTATCTTTGTTGGACTTGCAAACAAATTGAACTTATGAAGATGCTTGTGAAATGGAACTTGTTTGTATGTAGGGGACTTACTGTAAATAAAAGGTTCCTGGCTGGTTGCTGTGGCTCATGTCTATAATTCCAGTACTTTGGGATACTGAGGTGGGAGGACTACATGAGCCCAGGAATTTGAGACCAGTCTAGGCAACATAGTGAAATCTTATCTATATAAAAAGCAAAAAAATTAACCAAGTGTGGTGGCGTGTGCCTGTTGACCCAGCCACTCGGGAGGATGAGCTGGAAGGACTGCCTGAGCCCAAGAAGTGGAGGCAGCGGTAAGCCATCATTGTGCCATTGCACTCCAGTCTGGGTGACAGAGTAAGACCTTGCCTTAAAAAAAAGAAAAAAAAAAAAGGAAAAAAATGGTCGCCATGTCTCATTTTCTTCTCACCAAAAAACCCTTACAAATCCTCAGGCTAGTTAAAACTTGGAAAGGAAGATCTACAAAACAAACTTGTTTAACGTTGGCTAGCTCAATGTTTGCTAGGTGTACTTGATCATAAAACTCTCTTTGCTCAAAAGACCTGCAAACGTTCTTCTCACTACAGTTTGGGAAATGCTGCTTGGGTTGATGATGCTCAAAGGTAGCAACAGATGGAAGGCAACTTAATCACCAGGGAGCTGTTTCCAGACTCTAGCCCCCTAGTTAGGAGTCACTAATGATATTTTGCCTTATTTCTCAGGTGTATGTATTAAGGTAGGAAAAAAGTTTGAGAACTACAGATCTATACAGTTATTTATACACAAATTAATTCCATGAAGAGGGAAAAAAGTCAAAATAAAACCTTTGGGGTACAGAATTGGGACGTCTTCTGTCTCTTATAAAAGGAATTCTGATCAAGTTCAAAAACAATGGCAGTTTTTGAGAAGGAACAGCATCTCTTCTTCCTCTAATTACAAAGTGGCCACAAAAGAAATCTGAGTAACCCATATGAGAACTAGTCAGTTTCCCTTTTAGATATAAATGTAGTATTGCTCATGACACATGAAAAAAGAAAGCATATTTTTTTGAAGTCTAAATACTTTTTTAAAAGAGCAGTATATCTATATGGTAGTAGGGTGTCTCCACGGGGCAAATACTCAGTATCCACTTATCAGAACCAAATAGCCCTCCACCCCCTTCTACATGGTCCATAGCATTATGAAACTGTTACCTCTGGTCTAAGTGTAGCTTTCATGCAGGCTGGGCAAAGAGGCCCACTTCGGGAGAACTGAAGGGGAAGGTGCCGAGTTCGATTGCGACAGGTTGGCTCCTCACATACCAACCAGCCCTGGAGAAAAAAAGAGAAAACTTCAGTTTTATCATAACCTTTGACAAATATAAATAATAAACTCTTTTGTTATGAAGACAGACTCATTTTATTCAACCCTTCTTAGAGATTCTGATATAGCTCTAGTAACTTAGAAGTTAGGAAATACATGACTTTTTTTGTTGCTGTTGTTTTTTAAAAGATCACATGAAATGTTAGTCATGTTCTTAAAACACCCTCCACCACTCACATGCATCCAAACCTCCCAAGATAAACTTCTATTACATGCAGAATGTACACCGATGTGTTTTAGTTCATTAGCAAAGATCATTACCAAAGTAGAGAGTGTACCACATAGAAATGTATGCCCTTCCCAATGGCTGAGTGAGTAACTGTTGTTTAGTTACTTAATTGCTGTGCTCAGTTTCCTTCTCTGTAAAATGGCTGTAACAGTACTTACCATAGAGGGTGGCTGAAATGATATAATACATTTAAAGTACTTGGAACTATACTTGGCATAAAAGAAACACTTAATACATGTGAACAATTATTTCACTTAAAACTAAAACAGATTCTCTTATACATGCTTTCTGGAAGCATAAAACTGGCTGTAATGTTTTCAAGGACAACGTCAACTGGCCACTATTCTCCAGAGGGTTGAAATCACTTTTTCCCACTTCTCTGTCCTTTAGAACTCTTCTCATTTTCCTTCTTCAGTTACTTTCCCTTGCTGTTCTTGTTTGAGTCTTCTCATAGTAATATGATAATAGTATGCCTATTACCTTAAATCAGCATTATGTTTATAAGAAAACATCTGTTAAACAAGGAAGACAAGACTTAACAAATGCAGTAGAGCAAAGCTTAGGTGTTCACACTAAGACACCCAGGGCCTGTGGACTTTGGCGCTACAGTATTGCTAGAGACATTAAGAATAAGGCAAACTTTAGCATGAGGTCCCAGGGTATAAAGGCAAACAAGATATGCTCCCTTGACTCAGGTGTTCCTACTTAAAAAGCTGCAAGTACAGACCTGACTATCTGTAAATCCTGGAGCATTTGGAGAGACAGCAACTTATGGACTGGTCTTGAAGAGAGAGTAGAACTTTGGAAGGTAGAGAAGGCGAGAAAGACAACTTAGGCAGAAAAAAATAGCATATGCCAAAGAATGAAGGCCAAAAAGAGCTATGCTGTGATATCATTAAGAAAGGAATCAGCAACACGCATAACCCCACTTCTTACTTCTAGATTGAGCAACCTGTTGGTCTTTTGCCCCTAGGTAAGAGCAGTATATACACGAGTATTGCTTCATTAAGTTAGGTACTTTAGTCTGCCACTTTGTGATGTTTCCATGTGGTATTAATCCAAATCAGAGGGATGCCCTCACTCACTGCCATGCAGCTTGACCTTATTCCTCAGAATAGGCTCTTTTGGGAAGTAGCTATGACAAAACTCAAAGGAAAGCACCGAGAATCAGTTCTTCTAACTTCATTTAAGGTTATCACAGACCAGGAAGACATACTATGGAATTTTGGGCTAAAAAAAGTTATGCTACCTTTAAATTTAGAATGTAACAAGCCAGGCTCGGTGGCACAGCCTGTAATCCTGCACTTTGGGAGGCTGAGGTGAGTGGATTGCCTGAGCCCGCGGGTTCGAGACCCACCTGGGCAATTTGGCGAGACCTCATCTCTACAATAAATCAAAAAACTAGCCGGACATGGTAGCGCACGCCTGTAGTTCCAGCTACTTGGAAGGCTGAGGTAGAAGGATTGCTGGAGCCCAGCAGGCGAGGCTGCCGGGAGCGGCCACTGCACTCCAGTCTGGGCGACAGAGTGAGACTCCAACTCAAAAAAAAAAAAAAAAAAGAATGTAACATTCACCTACTCAATGACATTCATAGTAAGCTTAATCCCTACCTTCATTCAACAAGATAAACTACTTTAAAATTTAATTTGAACTTGTCAGGTAGAGGGTCTCAATGAAACTTTTAATATATGCCCAGAATTACACGAAATATTATGGGGATTTGGCAAAGGGGCCCCAGTCCCAGAGCTTTAGAAAATCTAGTAGGAAAGTAAGGTCTGAGGCTTTACATGCTTTGGAATGTGTAGTTAGTTAACATTGTTAACCATAGTTATAATTCATCCCATTCTAAACAAAATTTTAAAAAAGCAGAGAGATAACTATATTCAGAGATGAGAAATTATTAAGTACCAGAATACAACTAGAATGTTAAAATTATTTTTTATATATATATTTTTTGAGTCAGGGTCTCACTGTCACCCAGGCCGGAGTACAATTGCACACTCACGAAAATTGTAGCCTTGACCTGCTGGGCTCAGGTGATCCTTCTGCCTCAGCCTTCCAAGTAGCTGGAACCATAGGTATACGCCACCATGCCTGGCTAATTTTTGGTTTATTGTAGAGATGAGGTCTCACCAGGTAGCTCAGGCTGGTCTCAAACCCCTGAGCTCAGGCAATCCTCTCATCTCTGCCTCCCAAAGTGCTGGGATTACAGGTATGAACCACCACACCCAGCACTATTAGTTTTTTTCTGAGACACTCTGTTGCCCAGGTTGGAGTGCAGTGGCATGATCATAGGTCACTATAACCTCAAATTCCTGAGCTCAAGCAATCCTCCTGCCTCAGTCTCCCAGGTAGCTGGGACTACAGGCACACACCACCATACCAGACTCATTTTTTTAAAATTTTTCTGTAGAGACAGGGTCTCACCATGTTGCCCAGGCTGGTCTTGAACTCCTGGCCTGAAACAGTCCTCCCATATCAGCCTTCCAAAATGCTAGGATGACAGGAGTGAGCTACTGTGCCCAGCCCTTAATTTTTATAATATAATGTTCAAAACCTAGAGTTATTTTCAGATGTTTTTGAAACTTGATTGTCAATTTACTACAACTTCGTGACTCACTGGGGGAGCTGCCAACCAGGGAGATGCTAAGTTGTCATCTCACTTGTTTTTAAAGCAAACACCTAACTCTATCTCTGACAGAGTTACTAACTAAATGTCCTTTCAAATCATATATAAAACAGATAATATAATTTGTCTAGACTTCCTACCAGTTATAATTAACATTAAAGAGGTCTTTTTTTCTTTGTCACCTCTCTATTCAGTTCTTATTTAGGTTTGTTTGTACTTACTATCTGTTAATCTCTCTTTACAAATGACAACAATAACTAGTGCTATTATGCATGGAAATTAAACATGCTGCTAACTGTGTGAAGGGAACCGGGACTAAAAAAAATATTAGAAGCCTGTAACTCTTTATGCCTCTTGTTTTATTTTGATAATTAAGCTTTTGTTCACAGTGTATTTTAAACAAAACTATTCTATGTAGGAAATAGACCCTAATCATATTCAATATATGCTTTGCTTCAATTCAATTTTGTCAAGTACATTTTGTTTAACTCTTTGTTCCTCCAACAAATGTTAACTGACTATGCTAAATCTAACTTCCAAGGAACATTTGTATTGTTAAAAATAAATATGCCATGTATTTGAAAATATTTCATAAAAATTAGGCAAATTTTACATTATAAGATCTCAAGTGAATTTTGCCTCTCAAGGGTGATAAAAACAAAGCAAATAAAAATACTAATGTATAAATTCGCTTTGCATTATCACTCACAAAGACAAAACTAATCTTATTTTCATTTCCCATTTTGAAAAATAATGCAAAGCTCGTACAGTCCAAGGCTACAATGACAAGTCAATAGAATAATACATTTTTAATAAAAAAATGTAGTTCTTTGGAAGTTCAACCTATAAAAATATTTAGATTTTAATAAAAGCTTCTAGAACCACTTAAAGATGTCTGTCATTCAAATATGTCATTTTGTTATGTCAGGCCACACGTAAATTGTCATAACCAACAGGTATAAGGTCATTACGCTTTTCAGTTGCCTAGCTTAGCCACATTTACAAGTAGAGAGTTCAAAAGAGGTGAAGACAGTCTGTCCAAGAGCAAAACAAATCTTTCCCCAAACATGCCAAACTCTATCACCTGTTGCTTTAATCTCAGCATCACTAATTCCCTAAAATCATTGTGTATGAAATTGTGTCAAATGCTGATTGGTTCTGATTGCTAAATTATATTTCTGAGGCCTTAACTAAAATGATTTCTGCCTGCACATGCTAAAAAGGGATCGATTTCCACTTGTAACTGAGGCGTTCCTGGTAGTTGCACCTTAAATACAAACTGTTATTCATTTGTGTACATGTGTATTTTTAGAAGGATACACATGCACAGATCCTCCAGATCCTGAAACATGGAGCACAGGAGGCCCTCGAAAATATTTTCTGAATAAATGGAGAAATGAAAGCAATAAAATAAAAAGGAAGAGGAGCAAGTTTATAAAAAATAATAAGGAAAGGGTCTAAAATTCACAGGAGGAAAAAAATTCACTGTAGTTTGCATACTCTTGAGTCAAATATATGGTGGGTCTTTCTCCTCCCACTCCCAGTCACCAAGCCTGTTCACTGGTCTTTCCTTTATAGTCCCATTACCACCAACCCCACCTAAGATCAGACTTCAGAGTAGTCCTACCGTAGTAGCCTCCTCCCTGATTTTCCTGACTTCATTCTCCCACATCCAATACAGAGTTGTCAGTGTAGTCTCCCAGGGCTCTTCACTCCCATCCCCCAATCGTATACCTATCATAGACAACTAAGAACAAATTCATTGGTCTGGATTTCAAACCTTTATAACCCCATCCTGCCTCCCATCCACCCCTTTCCTATCTTTCTCTTACACAAACTCTTTGTCCCCTCAGATTGGTTTTTCTCACTGTACTCATCCCATTTTGCCCGTCATTCATCAGGCTGGAGAACCTCTGCCTAAAATGACCATTCCTTTAGCATCAGGGATTTCTCCCTACATCCCACCGGACACTGAGCACACACTGCACTGTCCCCTAGTCACCTTATCTTACCTATCTAACTGGCTGATCAGTCCCCTGGGGAACAATATGCTTTGGATTTGGTAGTGTCCTTCCCAGTCTCTAGCACAA